TGCGAAGGGCACGGCCCCCTGGGGGGGGGGAGGCACCAACTATACACCAACACCGATCCTGGCCAGCATCACCCTGGGCCCAGGATCGGTGTATACGCCCTCCTGCCTTGCGCAAGAAGGCATATACACCGATCCTGGGCCCAGGGTGATCCTGGGCCAGGATCGGTGTTGGTGTATAGTTGGTGCCCTCCGACTGGGGGGGGGAGGGGGTGGGGGGCCGGCACGGGGGTGGGGGCGGCGTGCGGGCCTCTCCTCTGGGGCCACGGCGAGAGCTCCGGCGGGGAGCGGTGCTCGTGCGGGAGGAGGTGCCGAGAGGGGGGGCGCGGCGGGGAGGCCATGCGAGGTCCTCCGCTGGGGGGCATCGGTCGAGCTCCCTGTGGGGCCCGAGCCTCGTGAGGGGTGCGCCGAAGGGAGCGCAGCAGAAGCAGCAGAAGAGGCAGGGGGAACGACGACGAGGAAGGAAGGAAGGAGGAGGAGGGGGAGAGAAAAGGACGAGGAGAAGGAGGAGGAGCAGCAGGAGGAGTGAACGCGCGGCGCTGCGGACTCAAAACGAGGACCCGACACTTGGCGAACAATATGAAGGGGAGGAGGTGAGGTGAGGTGGAAAGCAGCGCTGCAGATTCAAAACGAGGCCCCAGCACACGGGAGGGTTGGGAAGCAGTACGATCAGTAGGCTGGTCTTGCGAGGATCCCCACACGGATCGATCCAGCTGGAGACAGTGCCGCCGAAAGATGGTGCAAATAGACCTGGTCGTGGTACTTCACGTCGTTGCGAGTCGGTTCGGGTCTCAGGATACTCCCCTGGACTTGAATCAAAACTCCTTGTCTTGAGAAGTTTCCCCATGGGTCTGGACTACACTCCCCCGCTCAGCGGGTCTGGGAGGCGGGCGAAAACCTCAGAAACGGCCAGGGGCCAGCGAAAAGAGGCCACAGCTTTCTTATGCGAGGCCGTGGGTGCAGTCCAGGAGTGTCCATAAGGCAGGTTCACATCGCAATGACGACGCTGGTTTCTGACACTTCGTGCATCACTCCGCACCGAACGATCGTGGCTAGGGGGGGTAGTACAGGGGGGATACCGACTCAGCTCACGTGGCTGGTTTTCCCAGCGCCTCCTGGCGCCTTATAGGAGCCAAGGCATCCAGGAAAACGCCTGGCGGCGAAGGCGAAACCTGCTGCACGCAGCAGACTTCTGGGGAGCGCCAATCATCCCCCCCCCTCCTTCGTCCGTCCCAGAGACCGCTCGGCAGCTGCCGGCACCAGACCAGTGGTTACCAGCCTGGAACATATCCCTATCCCTATGCTGGGCACCTCCTCATCACGATGCCAATCTTAGGGATTCCCTCATTTTTTGAGGGCGCATCCCTAAGACTGTCATCGCCTTGTGGCGTGTCAGTCTTAGGGATAGGGATACGCTCGAGGCTGGTAAAGTTGCACTGCCCAACCTCGGGCGCCCGCGCCGGGGCCGCCGCCGCGTCAGCGCGGCACGAGCTGCCGCGCGGGCCCGGGGCTCACAGGGAGTGGGCCTGGCCAGGGCGCGGCGGCTGCGCGCGGTCGCTCCGGGCTCGGAGGCCTCTCCCACTCCAGCATGCCGTCCTCTCGGGCGCTCGTTGGCGGGGGGGATCTCCCCTGACCTTCCAGGAGGGCGAAAAAATAGCACCATCCTAATTCCTGTCGAGGTTTGAGGCAGTCCAGATAGATCTATAGGTCTGGAGTGCTATTTTTAAGCACTCTGGAAGGTCAGGGTCTACGAGGGGTGAAGCGAGCGAGGGGCAGCGATAGGCTCGGGGCCGGCTCGGGGGGGTGACCATCGGCCAGGCATCGGCGAGGCGTCGCCGGCAGATCGGCGATGGGCCCCCGGTGGCGAGTCCGCACGGCCCTGGGCGGAGGAGGGCCACCGGGCCCCTGTCGGCGATCAGGGGGCGAGTGGGCCCTGAGCCCGTCCTCCCCCCAGTGAACCTAGGGCTCCCTACTTCGCGCTTCGCGCTCCGCGAAGCGCGAAGCGCGAAGCGCGAAGCGCAAAGCGCGAAGCGCGAATAACTTCGCGCACTCGCGCCGCCCCCCCCCCAAAGGGGAAAAAGGAGGACGAGGAGGAGGGGGAGAAGGAACGAGGACCCCGAAGCGCGAAGCGCGAATGGCTTCGCGCCCTCGTGGGAGCCCTTGCTAGCGCTGCTCCTGGAGCAGAAGCGCCCACCCTCCCGGCACCTCTCGGGCCCGGCGGTGGCAGTTCCGGGGCCCCTCTGGGGCCCCACGCGGGCCCGCGTCCCTGCAGCCCTCGAGGCCCCCCTCGTTCCCGGACGCGCGACGTCTTCTGATCCTTGCGCACGTGCGGAGCTCCCGGGAGCCCCGAGCCCTTTTCCCCAAGGCTGGCCCTTCGTCCCGAGTCGTTCATGACGGGGCCAGCGTCTGCACGGGGGCCCCCGTCCTGTCGGCGGCAGCAGCGCCCCCGGCGGCCCCATGCGCCACGGGGCAGGCCCGTGCGCACCCCGCGGAGAGGAGGAGGAGGAGGAGGAGGAGGAGGAGGAGGAGGAGGAGGAGGAGAGGAGGAGGAGGAGGGGAGGAGGAGGAGGCGGGAGGAGGGGCGGAGGAGGAGAGGAGGAGGAGGAGGAGGAGGAGGAGGAGGAGGCCTCCGCAGCGGTGGGCATGGACGTGCCCTGGCGGTGGAGCCCCGTCCGGCCGCTCCGCCCCCCTCCGCCCCCTCCCAGCCTGCCCCGGCGTCCCCGTGCGGAGCGGAGGGCGGAACGACAGACGCACTGCCTGCAAGGTGAGCTTCCCGGAACGGATCCCGCTGCCCCACGGATGACGCTGTCCCGGGCCTCTGGTGGTCGCAGGCGTGCGTGGGCCGGTCCGGACGCCCCGAAGCTGGGAAAAGTTGGCACCTCTTGGAGGGATGCTGTTTGCTTCCCTCGGTTTTTGTTCCGCCGTCTTCTGCCAGCCTTCCGCCGCGGAAGAGATGCCAAGTCCTTCGACCCTCGAATGCGAGACCCTCCCTGGAACGCCTCAAATGGATACTCCATTCCTCTCGGTGGACTCCCCCGGATTGAGCTGGGAGCGCCGATCCACGAGAGCCGCGCGGACCTCTGGAAGGACATGCCTATGCAGCCTTCTTACTCGGCCACCCCTCCTCTCCCCGAGAGCCGACGCCACGAAGAAGTGCCGCATCCGGAGAAATCTCGACCAGCGCCCTGGACCCCATCCCTGCTGGCACTCTTCTGGCCGGACCCCCTCCGCGAGGGCCCCGGGGGGCCCGACGACGCGGGGCAGGGCCGCCCGCCGTGGCAGACGTGCCACGCCGGGGGCCCCCTCCCTCCCCATCCCCTCCCGCCCCTGCCCCTGCCTCCCCCCCCCCCCCTCTCGCCGAGCAGGAGAGGGAGACGGGGGGGAGGGCGCGCCGACGGACGCAAGCGGGTGGGCCCACGCCCCGCGAACGTGAGCGGGTGGATACGCTCGCGGCGGGCCCCGTGCACGGCCCACCGCGAGCCGGCGACGGAGTGGCGCGCACAGGTTGCCGAGGGGAGGAGGAGGAGGAGGAGGAGGAGGAGGAGGAGGAGGAGGAGGAGGAGGAGGAGGAGGAGGAGGAGGAAGAGGAGGAGGAGGAGGAGGAGGAGGAGGAGGATTCCGTAGCAATTTTGGCTCAAGCCATACAGCCGAGGAGGGGCGGGACCTCGCCGCCCGTCGGTCGCCCCGTCGGTCGTGGCTCGCGCGCGGGCCATCAAAGCAGAAAGAAGAAGGCCGCCGCGACAGCGGCCAGGACTCTAAAGACGCCCAGGGGGCGGGAGGAGTCCTGGCATCGACGTCTACGAGCCCTTCGTGGACAAGACCGTCTTTGCAGCTGCTACGAGTCGCTGCAGCTGCGAACCGCCTCAGCATCCACCACAGCGCTCAGCAGCACCAGCGCCACCAGCAGCAGCCCCACAGTGCGGACAGCGACATGTCGCAAGCTGCGGCTAATGCTGGCAAGAGGAAGAGGTCATCGGGCCCCGCAGTCGGAGAGAGCCCATGGCCATGGCGTGCGCAGCGTGCGCGCAGCACCCAGCGCAACCAGCAGCACCAGGCTAGCGCAGGATGGACCCAGCAGAAGTGGCAGGGTGCGGTCTGGTCCCAAGGCCAATGGCAGCAGAACAAGTGGCAGGAGGATAAGCCTACCAGCAGACGCAGGCGCAGTCGCCGCCCGACAGGCGCCACAGCCCCAGCAGCAGGACGGCAGGCGCCACAGCCACAGCAGCGGAGCAGCTTCACCGAGAAGCAGCGCGCCGTGCTCGGCATGGTGTTGTTGCCAGCATCCTACGAGGAGGCGCAGGATCATGAGTCGTGGAGCTCGCCGCCGTCCGACCCGGAGATGCTCGAGGTCTGGCGGAAGACCCGCAGCCAGCGCCTCGCCAGGTTGGCGGACAACATCTCAAGAGCCCGATGCGCAGGCGTGGCATGCACCAACCTGGAGTATGAGGCAGCGGTCGTGGCGGCGAACATCACATTCGTGATCCCACCAAAGGAAAGGCTCCGCCAGCTGCGCTCCACCCTGGAGCGGGCCGAGGAGGAGTTCAGCAGCCTCCGGGCCAGGATCACAGCGCAGCTGGATGAGGAGGCGAAGGCCACTAAGGTTGTGCGGATGTACAAGGTGCTGATCCGCGAGACCAGAAGGACGCCCAGGCCAAGAACGACGCCGATCGTCAATGGTAGCAGCACCGAGCACTGCTGCGCTTCGGCGGCAAGAAGGAGCGCTACAAGGCGGGCCTTCCACTCCGACTAGGGCCAGACGGCCAAGTGCTGAGCACATCCGACGAGATCGCCAACCATGGGATGCAGCACTTCGCCGCCACCCAAGTGGGCAGAGTTATCACGGCCCAACAGCTAGCCAACAAGTACAACCAGGACAGCGACAACAAGTTCTTCCAGGGCGAGCTGCAAGTCGAGGCGGTGATGCCCTACGGCGCGTGCTACTACCAGATGCGCTCGGAGGCGCCAGGCCCCAGGGTGGGCCAAACGGCCTCACCAACGCCCTGCTGCGCACAGCGCCCCGCCAGTGCGCAGATACGCTGCACCCGCTCTTCGTGAAAGCCGCGGTCACAGTCCGCGAACCGCTCGCCTTCAAGGGGGGAGATATGGTTGCCATCCCCAAGGGCAAGGGCGACGAGCGCACGCTGCAAGCCCACAGGGAGATTATCTTGAACAATGTGCTGGGCAAGCTTCACCACAAATTCTTGCGGACGGTGCTCAACAGCTGCCTCGCCCAAATCCTGGAAGACATCCAGACAGGAGGCCGACCAAAGCGAGGGGCAGACATGAGGGTCCTCGCAACCAGGCTGCTTATGGAGAGGGCCAAGCGGCAGGGACGCCCCTACGTCGTGGGCATGCACGACCTCCAGGAGGCATTATACAGTGTATTGCTGCAGCTCATCCACCAGATGCCCAGGGGAGAACGCGAACTCGAGGACGTCCTCGGCAGCGTCGAGGTGCCCGCTTGGATCGTGCCGCAGCTGCAGCGGCTCCTCGAAGCTTCTGGGCTCCTTGACAGCACGACGGATGTCTCCCACCTGTCTGCCCTCGTCACTGAGGGACACTGCAGTCGATGGACAGCACAGCGGTGATGATGCCCAGGAAAGGCACAAGGCATGGCGTGCCTCTAGCAGATGCGGGTTTCAACATATGCGTCTCCAGGGCCCACAGGATGCTGACATCCCTCCTACGAGAGAAAGGCATCACCGTCGCGGCGAACCCTCTGGACGGAGCACTCAAGTGCGACGGCGACGACGACCACCACCACGAGCTGCAAGAGGAGCCCCACGGCCTCTCGTCTGTCGATGACCTCTCCACCCACCACGCCTTCTCCCACCACAGCCAGGCCTAGCGAGAGACTGCGGTCATCTGCGTGAGCGTCTACCTGGCCGCCACCACATTCGGAATGAAGCTCAAGCTGGCCAAGACCAAGGTGCTGATCAGCTTCCACGGGCCTGGCCATAAGGCCCACAAGGAGGTATTCTACCAGCGGGAGTCTATGCACATCGAGGTTCCAGTGGCCAGCAGCGTCGTCGACATCGTCAGGCACCACCGCCTCCTCGGCACGACGGTCACCGACGACGGCTCACCGGGAGTCGACGTCGCCCATAAGGTCACCAAGGCAGCAGCAACGAGCATCCCACTACGCCGTGAGGTGCACAAGCGCAAGCAACTCACGACCCACGACAAGGCTGCCCTCGCGGTTGGCCTAGAACTCGGGCACCTGGCCGCCACTCGGACCATCCGACGCCCGCAAGTTCGAGGCACAGTACGTCGCCAACCATGCGGCCACCCAGGGTATAACATGGAAGCAGAATTGCGACAAGCTGCTGAGCAACTGCCAGATCACAGAAGGGTGTCGATTGGCCCACCAGCGAGGCCTACTTGACCCTGGAGCGGCTCCGCCTCTTCGCGAGAGTAGTCAACTAAGGGCCCATCTACCTTCGGAGGTTGCTAGCGGAAGCGTGGGAAGCCCAGGACGGCAGGGCGGAGGCAATACGACACGACATCACATGGCTCCGTGAAAACACGGACCCTGACGAACCAGCCAGTCAGCACTCCACCAACGACTAGAAGGACTGGGCCCGGGCCGACGGAGTGAAGTTCGTCAACCACGTCAAGAAGACGCTACACAGAGCACGACGTGCAGCATATGACGACGACTACCTGGAACGATGGCGGAAGCGGATTGCCGCCTGGACCCTCACCCACGCCATCCCAGCATTAAACGGACAAGAGCCAAAGCACACCACGACCTACGTATACAACGAGTGCGGGCACACCGAACCTACTAAGCAGCGACTTCGAGCCCACATCACTCGGTACCACACCAACGCCAAACATCCAGCCACATGGGTACAAGGCACTTTATGCCTGGGCTGCGGACGCGACTTCCACACCACCAACCGCATCGTCAAGCATCTCCTGAAGGTCAAGCGCTGCGCCGCCCACATGCGGAGACGCTGCCGACGCCATTGCCAGACCAGCACGAGATCAATCAGCAGGCGATCCGACAGCAGCAACAGCAGAACCGACAAGCGGGACGGCCCAGCGACTGGGCCGAGCGACCATTCCAGCAAGTCCAACCACCAGAGCTTGACGACCACAGCGACCCCTCGGACGATAACGCCAGCGTGGACATCCCGTGCTACAGCGACCCACTGCCACCTGTCGCTCAGGTCCCACGCCCACCACAGGCATCCACCATGTACATCCTACACCTGTTCAGTGGGCGTCGGCGGCTATCGGACATACAGCATTAGTACGAACAACTACCGGTAGCCAGCAGCCACTCGATTAATGTGCGACCGCTGGACGTCGCCAACGACGCGACCTTCGGCGACTTAACCAACGAGACCTCAGTGACCAAGTAGTCAAATGCTCAAAGACGGACGGATCGCGGCGGTACTGGGAGGGCCGCCGTGCGAAACGTGGTCGCGCGCATGCCACTTACCACCCAACCAGTGCAGAGGCAGTCCGCCGCGGCCACTCCGTTCGGGGACCCAAACTATGGGGCCTTCGGCATCTTCGAAGGACTGAAGCAGAGCAAGTCAGACTGGGCAACCGACTGTATCGCACACAGGTCGAGTTCCTCCACGCCTGCGCAGTGTACGACATACCTGGGCTTCTAGAACATCCTGCAGCACCACGAGAGCAGCACATGCCCAGCAGCTGGCCGTTGCCAGAGACCGCCCATTTAGCAACTCAGCCCAACGTCGACACCATCACGTGCGACCAGTGCACCTGCGGAGCACCCTCTAAGAAGACTGCCACTCTCCTAGCGGTGGCGTTCCCTGCGCTGCGCGAACGCTTCCGACGTCTCCCAGGTGCGGGGAGATGCTTCCACACCGCACGCTACCATCAGGAGCTCGCAGGCGTGGACGAGCAGGGAAGCTGGAACACAAGCGCCGCAAAGGAATACCCGCCCATGATGTGCCAAGCGATAGCGGAAGCCTTAGCCACCCAAGTGGCTCAGAGGTTCGCCGCAAGCTCACCTGACCGACACTGGCACATCGAGCCCGGCAGCCTCCACTTCTACCAGCCTCTCGACCCATACCTGACACGCGAGATGCGCAGCGACCATCACCGCACCCACCCTAGACGAACCATCAAGAACCTCGACCTGCACGAGGCTCGAGAATGGGCCAAGGATGACCCCTGGTACGCACCACCGCCAACACAGCCACCACCGACACGACCCAACCAGTAGCCATCTACCCTCAACCCTCTCACCCCCTTTTGACCGCCTCCGCTGCGATCTTGACGGCATGCCCCTTGCACCGATCCACACGAGCTCCTGTTCAGTCAGGCCGTGAGGGCTGGAGCGGAAAACCTGAAATCGCAGCACGCCCTCTCCATCGACGCACCACGCCATCCACCAGCAACCATCCCACCGACCGACCAGCCAACACAGCAACCATCCAGCCGACCCACAGGCACACACAAGCCACCGACCAACACCCACTACGCAACTCGACCAACCCTCACACCAGCCACAAACACCACCACCCCAGAGACCAGCATCCGACCATCCACCACAATGATAGAAACGGAGCTGGCAATCAAGGTACATGAGACAGTCCAGGATGCATCCCTGAACACCTGCGTACCTGCCACGGCACAACAGACTGACCCACAGCACACCAGCACGAGACCCACTCACCGTTCCGTACGCTCCCGCCAGCATCCCGCGCCTACGCCAGCAGAGATCGACGGCCACGACAAACAGCCCCACACCACCAGGACGTGGCCCCATACACACCGTGGAGTTAAAACGTGGCAGAGTCCTGAGGAAGCCCCGAGCGCGTGGGAACACCCCAGGCAACGTCGCCACGTTGAGCTGCAGGCGGTAGGACGCAAAGTCCCGAGGAAGCCCCGAGAATGCGTGGGAACACCCCAGGCACAGGTCGCCACGTAGGCACACGTCCTGCACACAAGCCCGACCTCCACCAACACCCGCCACCCAACGACAGCACCCAGCAACCACAGACCTCGTTGCGGATGCCCTGGAGAGGCAAGGATCCAACTTCGAGACGGGCTCGAAGGGCGAGGGGGCAGGACGAGTACTGCCCGCGCCCGCCAGGGGGGATGGTGAGGGGCAGGGGGGGGGGACAGCCACCACCCGCGCCCCCGCGGTCCGCCCTAGCTCGCCACCCCCACCATCCCCATGTCGGAGGAGGAGCTTGCCCGAAAGCCGACGAGGCGGAGCACAGGGCAGATGCGACCCAGCCCACCACGAAGAACACCAAGCACAAGGCCTGAGGGTCGCCCCCACCGAGGGCACTCTGACCCCTAGCCATAACGGGACGAGGTGGGACCGCGGCGAATCCCACTTGAAGTCGGTGCATGGAGGCCACGACGTGCGACCTACAACCCCAGACCCCACCCAGCAAAAAACGACCCACGACCCACCCCACCGACCGCCCACTCTCACCGAGGACGACAGCAGCGAAGACCTGTGAAAGGCTCCGTGTGAGAAAAGTGGCGAGATGCCACATTCGCACGAGCATCCTCCAGGCGACAAGAAGGCCAGACGCGGAAGGTGGGAGACCACATCCGTCTGACCTTCTCAAGGAGCTCGTGCAGGAGAACATACAGGTGAACATGCGGAAGAACAAAGAGGCCCAGGCCAAAGGACGTGAGGCCTGACCAAGCGTGCGAGAAAAGTGGTGAGACGCCGCACCCGCACGGCCAACAGCCAGGCCTCAAGGAGCGGCCAAGCTCCCAGGCTGGCAGCAACAGCGCACAGGCGCCGAAGGGTTGCTGCCAGTCTCCTGCGTGACAAGCAGGACAGCGATGCCTCCAGCCAGGAGGCAGAACGCTGGAAGCCGACCCACCCTACTTCAACCAGCTAGCCAGACAACGACGGCAGCGAAGAACCTGAAAGACCGCGTGTGAGAACGCACGAGCACCCATCACAACCAGAAGACCAGACGGGAAGGTGGAGGCCACAGCCGTCTGGCCTGCTCAAAGATAGCATGCAGGAGATCATGCAGATGGCCCGAATGACGAGAGGAGGTCCAGGCCGACGCACGTGAGGCCTCCAGGCGTGCGAGAAAGGTGGACAGACGCCACGTCCGCACGAGCCACTGCAGGCCTCGCGGAGCGGCCATGCTCCTGGGCCGGCGGCAACAGCGCGCAGGCGCCGAAGGGTTGCTGCCAGTCGCCTGCGGGACAAGCAGGGCAGCGCCGCCTCCAGTCGGAGACAAAGGGCGCTCGAAAAAGCGGGCGCCCCGTGCAAAAGACAAAGGGGGGGGGCGCCCGGCGGCCAGCGGCTGGAAGGCCAAGGCGCCCAGCGGCCAGCTGCTGGAGAGCCAAAGAAGGGGGCGTCCAGCGGCCAGCAGCTGGAGAGAGCGGCGGCCGTCGGCCGTCGGCCGCCGCGGGGCGCTGCGGGGCTTGACCCCAATGGCGCGCGAAACAGCGGGAAACAGCGGGAGGAGGAGGAGGAGGAGGAGGAGGAGGAGGAGGAGGAGGAGGAGGACGACGACAGGAGGGCGAGGGGCGCGAGGCGCCCGCCTGGCGCTCGTGCATCCGCAGCTCGCAGGCCTTGCCCTCCGCCAGCCTCGGGGGGTGGCGTCGGCGTCGACGCCGCCCACCGCCGCCCGTCGCCCTGACCGTCGTCCTCGTCGTCGCCATCCTGCCCTGTAGGAGGGCACCAGCTATGCACCTACACCGATCCTGGACAGGCCCGTCCTGGGCCCGGGATCGGTGTGTGTGTGTGTGTGTGTGTGCGTGTTCGCCCTCCTGGCCTGGGCTCGAAGGCACCTACGCCGATCCTGGGCCCAGCATCGGCCTGACCAGGATCGGTGCAGGTGTACAGCTGGTGCCCCGGAGGAGCCGAGGGAGCAGGAGTGCGAGAGGAGCGCGGAGGAGCCGGTGGCCCAGGAGGAGGAGCAGGAGGGAGGCTCGAGCGAGGCAGGAGGGAGCAGGAGTGTGCGAGGAGCAGAGGAGGAGGCGCAGCCGCAGGAGGCCGCGAGGGAGGCGCCTGGCCCCACAGCTCCAACGGCGCCGGCTCTGCCGCGGAGGGGGCCACCGGACCGCCCCGCGGGCCGAGGGGAGGGAGAGGCACCCGGACCGCAGACCTCCGTGCGTTGTGGGCAAAATCTCGGCGCGAGGGCTGCGGCTGTTCTCGGACTCCAGGGGGCCCTGGCGGGGCCCGGGGGCTGTCAAAGAACAGCTCGGGGATGGAAAAGCGGACCCGATGGAGGGGTCGGGCCTTCTGGGGGGGCCCGTGTCGAAGACAGGAAGGCATCGGATGGACGGGTCCGACGTGGTGATTCTTTCACAGCGTGAGCCTCCAGAGGTCTAGACCCCTTCTTCAGGGCTGGCTGCTCATCAAGAAGTCGTCTTCTGACGACCTCCTGGGGCCTGTCACGGAGCCCCAGAAATCGAGACTGGCTAAGAACATGGAGACATGATCTTTTCACGACGCGAGGGGCCTGGGTCCTCTGAGATCTTTTTCTCTGACTGCGCCACCGCATTCGACAACGCGCCAAACGGCCGACGAGTATGAAAAAATGATTGGACAATTATCCCAGTGCGACCCTACCTAGGAGTTGGAGCCCCTAGGAAAGCAGCATTAGTAGTAACAGTAAAGCTAAGCTAAAGCTAAGCTGCAGCTAAGCTACAGCTAAGCTAAAGCTAAGCTAAAGCTAAGCTAAAGCTAAGCTAAAGCTAAGCTGAAGCTAAGCTGGAGCTAAGCTAACGCTAAGCTAAAGTTAAGTTAAGTATAAGCTACAGCTAAGCTAAATATAAGCTTAAGCTATGCTAAAGATAAAGCTAAAGCTAAGCTGAAGCTAAGCTAACGCTAAGCTAACGCTAAGCTGAAGCTAAGCTAAAGCTAAGCCAAGGCTAAACTAAAGCTAAGCTAAAGCTAGCTAAAGCTAAGCTAAAGATAAGCTAAAGCTAAGCTGAAGCTAAGCTAAAGCTAAGCTAAAGTTAAAGCTAAGCTAAAGCTAAACTGAAGCTAAGCTAAAGTTAAGCTAAAGCTAAGCTAAAGCTAAGTTAAAGCTAAGCTAAGGCTAAAGCTAAAGCTAAAGCTAAAGCTAAAGCTAAAGCTAAAGCTAAAGCTAAAAGCTAAAGCTAAAGCTCCCAGGGGACTGGGGGAACCGCGGGGCGGGGACTGGGGGAACCGCCCGGGGCGCTTAGCACTGCCCGGCCCCTTTAAGCTAAGAGAGTAAGAACCTTCTAGGCAGAGCCTAGGTAGGGAAAAACTACACTGGGATTTAGAGCAGGGCAACATGCTGAGGGACCCGCTTGAGAGCCTCCGATGCTGCACGATCAGAAATAAGGGCAAGAAGAATTTGGAAACGGCCAAGACGCAGAACCCAGAGCTAGCGTAACCACTAAAAGAAGAAGGGGACTCTACTATGTAAGGAGAGCACCAGCCCGGGATGAGGCAACCAGCAGCAGCTTCTGTGCCCCTGGGCCCTTCAGCATTGCTGAGTCCTGTCCCTCGCCGCTCCCTCGTTCCAGAGCGCGCGTGCTAATTGTTCTGTTCGTGGCGCCGTACAGATCACCAGAGCGGTGCACGGCGGTGAGACCAGCCACCCTTTGATCAGGTGGAATACTCGTCGGGGCCCTGTCGGGGCACCGGCTGGACGACATGCGCAGGTTTCCAATGCGCGACGCACCGAGGCAGACCAGGGCTGACCATTCCGAACGCAGCTGCTTAGAACGATGTTGACACCTGCCCGCTGCGTTCTAAGCGCAGGCTCTGGGACGCGCGGCACGTCCGCTCAGAACCCGCTGAGAGCCTGCGCAGGACGCGCGGCGAGCCTCCCGAGGCCGAGAGTCAGCCTCAGGAGCGCAGGCAGGCCAGGGCCGCCAACCCACCCACGAGCGAACGCAGCTGCTGGCCCTCCCTCGTCCGAGGACGACAGGTGGTCGAGCGCGTTCCCGCCACGTGCTGTGGTGCGCGGCGCGCGAGGCCCTGCCAGCCCGCGGCCGCGCGCGAGGGCCCTGAGGCCACGGCCTCTGCCCCTGGCCTCCTATGCCAGGTCGCTCATGGCCGTGGGCGGATCGTCCACGTCGCCTCTGCGGCTCAGGGCTGCCGGTGAGCCGGGCTCTTCCCCGAGCTCGTACTCGCCAAGCCCCTTGCCGCTTCCAGCATTGGACAAGCAAGCCCTCTTCCATGCATCTTTCTCGACCGGGACGTCGGGATTGAGCCCGACCGTCGAGTACAGCACCGACAGCCAGTCGATCAGGCTCTGCTGGCCCTGGGGACTCTTGGCAAAGTCGAACTGGTCCTCCGTGAGCCAGGTGTAGAAGCCCACGTCCTCCGGGAGCATGAAGGCCTGGGCGCCAATGCCCAGCGAGGTCTTCTTCTCGCACTTTGCCCTCGGCTTCTTGGCCAGACTCTCCGATGCAACGTCCTCACCACTGCCGTATCCATGCTGCTCGGAGGCCACCGACAACGTGGTGTCCACCGTGTGCACCTTCAGCTGCCCGAGAGCCGCAGTGTCGCCCTCCGACCCCTGCCACCATGCCAACACGACCGTGCGGACGTACCTCGTCGGCACGCCGAACTTGCGGGAGTTGTCCTGCTGGCTCTGCCTCTCCACCCCGACCACCGCGATGCCGTCGCGCAGGGCCCGGAGCTTCCCCCGCAGCAGCCGCCGCAGGCAGTCGTGCGGGCTCTCGCCCGCCTCCTGCTTGCCCCCGGGCAGCTTGCAGCTCGCCTCCAGGCCGCCGTCCGCCCGGCTGTCGAGCTTCATGCGGACGAAGATGCGCCCGTCCTGGTGCCGCAGCCGCAGCGCGACCAGCGGCACGCAGCGCACGATGACCCGCCTGCCTATCGCGAGCAGCGTGCTTCCCCCGTCCATCACCTCCGAGGCCAGCCTCTGGATGTTGCCCTGCGGCACCGCGTGGAGCCAGCTGTCGAGGAGTGACTCGGGCGGCGCCATCAGCACGTCGATCGCCACCTGCCCGATGACGGCCGTCGCCTCCTTCGGCATCGCTGCGATGACCTCGTCCACGCCAAAAGGCAGGACGAGGTCGTTCGGCCAGTCGCAGAGGGGGGGGGTGGAGTTCTGCAGGAAGTGGTGGAAGCTGCGGGCGTACGCCCACGCGAGCTGCCCGATCAGGCCCCTCCTGGTCAGCAACGGCATCAGGGGGGCAGTCCTCAGCAGCAGCGCCTCGCAGCAGCCGCCCCTGCGGCCCTGGGCTTCGGCAGAGCCCATGTGCCGCCAGTGGCACCACAACGCCGCCTCGGAGAGCCAAGTCCCGGCCTTCGCCTCCTGTGGCATCTGTGCGGCAAAACTGTCGTCCAGGTCGTAAGACAGGGAGCCTTGAATGACAAAGTACATGCCTTCTGCCCTGGCCCCGAATACGAATAGATGATCACCGCTCATCAGCACCGAGAAGTGCGCACACGTCATGCAGGTCTCCTCCCACATCGCGCTGTCGGCATGGGAGAGGAAGTTGAGCAGCGGGTGCTCGAGGAGGTGCGGATTGCAGAGCTCTAGCTGGAGAGTGTGGCGCAGGGTCAGGGGGAGCATGTCAAGCACCTCCAAGTCCTTGACTACATCAGGGCGCAGCTGCATCAACTTCACCTTCACCTGCTTGCACACCTGCATCCTGATGTTTGGATTGATGTGCGATCTGTGCAGAAACTGAACTACCTTCGCCATCTCCCGGCTGTGCCGCTGCATGTCGATCTTCAGCTGCGCGGCGTTCGCCGAGATCGTTGAGACCAGAGTGGAGAAGACCAGAAGGCCGCCCATGAGGCAAACGATGTTGAAAATCCTCTCCGCACTGTTTACGGGGACGACCTGCATCGACCCAGGCGTCATTTGAGTCAAGGACCAGTGCCACGCGGTGGTGTACTGGTAGAAATGACCATAGTGGCCGTAAATTTCGCCTTGCGCACCGCTCCGCAGGTCCATCCAGGTGAAGCCCGTGTCGGACCAAGAAGGCCCCGGCCCGCCCTCCCGCCCCAGAAGGCACCAGAAGCAGGCGATCGTGTGGTTGATCCATATCAACAGAGCCGCGGTCCCGCAGATGTTGACGAGAGGTCTGGAGAGAGCCCTGATGAACACGGCGCCGCTGGAGTGCCCCAATCGATCGAGGATGCCGCTGAGGTTCCGCATCCGCATCACCCCCATGAGCCGAGCAATGCGCCCGATCTTGAATATACGGATGAACGACAAGGGTTGCGCCCTGGAGACGTCGGTCTGAAGCGACTGCAAGACGATAGCCACGACGTCCACCAGGAGCGTGACGAGGTCCAGGAGGAAGCTGCTTGACAGGTAGTGTCTAGCGATCTTCCCTGGCTGCATGTGGAGCTCTCCATTCTGGTAAAATCCAGTCCTGAAGTTCATCAGCAGATCGACCGACCAGAATACGGCCGAAACGAACTCCAGTGTCCCCAAGAGGCCTGCTCCGGTGTCCACTGGAAACGAGACCATGTATGGGATGGATAACACGTTGTACGCAAGCACGGCTAAGCTCACGACGTCGAGCCACGCCCGCATCTGGCCAGCTGGGGACAGCACAGCGCCATGGCAAAGCCCGCTGCACCTCGACCGCAGTCCTCGAGACCTCGGCGACGCGAGGCTGAACCTGCGGACGGACTGAGACCTGACCACGCGGCCCGTGCGCGAGAGCGACGCCGTGCGCGTGATGTGGCACTCCTTGGCGAGCTGCTCCCCCGAGCCGCAGGTCGCCAGCTCCTCCCGCACGTCGGCGCGCTCCAGCCACAGCCGCGCCCCCTCGGGGGCGCCCTCCGAGGCCTCCTCCCGCCAGGAGCCGACGTCGCCCAGGAGGCAGGGCGACGGCGCCCCGCAGAGCGCCAGCTTGGCCTCCGACCTCTCGCCCGCGCCTCCTCGAGGAAGCCCGCGCTCGGCCGCGGGGGCCCCGGGGCGGGGCCCACCGCCGGCCTCGACGTCTGCACCCGCTCGGCCGGGGCCTCCGCTGGCGGCCACCTCCGCGCCCGCCCCGAGGCCGGCCAGCAGCTGCTCCAGGCGGCGCTGGCCCTGGAGGAGCTCGCGCACGCCGGCCAGGACCTCTCCCTCGCCCCGACGCGCATCCGCCCACTCGCCGTGGCCGCCGACACCGCCGCCGGTGCCTCCGCTCATGCCGGCGGAGCCCAGCTCAGTCCGCGAGCCCGCGGTGCGGTCGCGTCGGCGACGCCGGCAGCGCCGGCCAAGCTCGTGCTTGGGCCTCAGGCGAAGCCCTTAAGCCAGAATGGCCACGGAGGCCTGGTCCCCCGAGATGTGAGTGTTGTAACTTTTTCGCTCTCGGCGTTTCCGCCCCGGTGCGGGCCCCGGAGGGAGGATTGAAAGAGAAGGGGGATGCATGTACCGGCGGGAGGAGGAGGAAAAGATGAGGCAAGAGGGAAGAGCGGATGGGATAGGGAGGGAGGGATGATGGTGGTAGCAGGAAGGATTCGGTAGAGGGGCAGCCTGGGCTCGACGGCTGTTTGGGGTACATTGTACGACTGTCTGAAGGCGGTCCGGATGCGTGTGAGGGTCCAGACGGCAAGTCAGGGGACGTGTCCAAGAGCGTGTTGGGAGTCCTTGGGGGGCCTCTTAGGCCGTCGCGGAGCCGTTGTTGGCAAATTTCTGCACCCAGGGTTCTGCAGCGGGCATCTCAACACATTTTGGGGCTGTTAGGGGTTCAGTTTGGACTAGCTTTGGGCCCAGTGGGGCCGTCTTTCTTGAGCACCTCGAAGGGCGCTCCCGTGGCGTCGTGGGACGAGCTTGGGCTGTCTTGGGGCCTCCTAGGTGCTCTCTTGAGGCCCATTTGGGCCCGTCTGGGCGCGACAGTTTTTAGAGCTGTATAGGACACCCTGAAGGCCGAAAAGGCGAGTGTGCAAACATGTATACTTATCGGTATATGTGCATGTGTACACGCATGAACATGTTTATCTATGTATATATGATATAAAAAGGAAAAATTACAGATGCAGAAATGTGTACGCGTGTATGTGTATAAACGTGTATGTACACACCGATACGCAAGCATCTACAAACATGCATGTGTACATAGTTATACTGAGACATGTATACGCACACAAATATATGTGGTCCCCCCGCCAGCGACCCTCAAAGCCCTCAAAGCACGAATCCACAGAATCGGTCATTTCACAAAGCCGCACGCTCGCTTCACGAACGAGCTTTCGTTCCATTCACATCTCGTTCGTTAGCCTGTAGCCCAAGCTCGCGAAATCATCCGCTCGGCCCATCGGTCACGGGCAACCTGCGCGCAAGCAATTCGGATTCGGTCGGTGGCGCCAAACGCCGCGGCCTCCCCCAAAGCAGCACCTTCTTCCGAGCCACCGAACCCGAAAACAAAAAACATAAGCCTTCAAAGGTGTTTCGTTGAATCCCGAACCAACAAAACCAACAAAACTAACAAATCAGACAAACGGTAAACGTTTCGTGATACCGAGGGCGCCAAACACTGTACATGCTTATCTGCTTGTTCGGTGTTGCTGGCATGGGAGTCATCGAAACACTGTTTTGGAATGATATGTTAATTTTTGGGGTCCCGGAAGTTCCAGTGTTCGCTGCTGCCTCTCCCCCCCAGCACCTCTCTCTGAGCCTTCGAAACCCAAACATAAAAACAGTGTTCCGTTGCTTCCCAAACCAATTACTCCGACGGTGGGACCCCGCATGACAATTACTTAGATTGTCCTTCGTTTTTTCCTCATCGCCCTGGCCAAAGGCGCCCGTCTCGCCCTCTGTTGCGCCTCCTCCTCATCCTCCTCGTCTTCCTCGTCTTCCGTCTCCTCCTCCTGCTCGCCCTCCCTCCTTATTTGATTTCTCAATTTCCTCTTTGTCCTTTTCCGCCTCCTCCTCCTCCTCCTCCTCCACCTCCTCCTCCTCCTTCCCCCCCCCCCCTCATCTCCATCCCGCCTGTTCTCCTCATACACGGCCTCAGCTGGTCTCTGCTGGTCTCTGCGGGTCTCTGCTGGTGTTTGCTGCTTTCTGCTGCTCTCTGACGCTATCCGCTGGTGATATATGATACGTTCTGCCGTGTCGTGAAATAGAGGCCCATAAGGAGGGGGCTCCCGCCTGAGACCCTCTTGCAACTCACTCACAGATGCGTGTGGAACGCCTCGTGATGTGCCCGTTTGGGGCGCTCAAATGTAACGCCTGGTGGAGTTTGCCGATGGCCCGCTCGGATTACCAACATGAAGTGCAGGCCCCCGCCCGACGCTTCCTCGCTATCCACCCACCGATGAAGACCCCGCGTGAAATTTCCTCCATATTTAATCCTGAAGAGTCCAAAAATGACGACTGTTACAGGATGCCGATGACCCGTTCGGATTACCTACATGAACTGCGGGCCCCCTAAGGAAGGGGCTCCCGCCTGACATTGACGCGCTCGCGCCCACTTCGCCCAATGCGTTGCAAGGTTGCGCGCGCGCGAGAGGCCCGTTTGGTAGCAAGCCCTGGGAATGTTGAAAAAAACACCGGTTGTCCAAGAATTCCCAGGATCGCGAGCACAAGCGATTTGGGGGGCATTCTCGTTGCGAAACCATGTGTCCCTGTATGTTTTGGGACACTCGATGTAATAATCCTTCCAAAACCTAGAAAATATTTCAATTACCCAGGGACGTACCCAACCCTTTGGCAACAGGTGGCATTATCAACTGGCGCTTTCAAAATAGCTGAACATCCACTGGACGTCCAAGAGGCCCACGAAAGCGACGACCATTGCATTCTTGGCAATCGCCGCGCTTGAGGGTCAAGCGGTGTACTTCGCTCAACGAAGAATCAGCGCCCCGCGCTCTCGAGAGACAGCGCTGCGCACTGCGCTACAGGACGGCGCCGCGCGACCGATCAGCGAACCGCGCTCTGCGCTCGATCCTGGTGTCCACATACTGCCTGCACCAGGGCCGCGCCTTCTTTACCCCCCTCCGCGCTTTCCCATGCCACGGAGAAACAGCGCCGCGCGCTCGGGCCACAATGACAGCGCCGCGCGCTTCGAGAAGGGGCCGCACCCCGCGCTCGCTTGCGAAATATCAAAGACCCCCTGGGGAATATGTTTGTGGAGCAGCAGTGTGAAGGGAGCGGCGCTGCGAGGATTCGTAGGACTCGTCCTAGACATCGGATCAGTCGAACGAGCTGCGCACTCGGCCAGCGGCTCACTGGAGCTGCTCGAAGAGGCGGAGCTCGCGGGCGCCAATCGCGCGATGGGCGATCTCGGCATACCCGTCGAATGTCACGTCGCCAGCAGTCTCTAGACGCCAAGCCCCTTCCCGATCTGGAAGCACCGTGGCAAAACGCACGTGCATGTCCCGCCCGGGCGGCCAGTGACAACTCGGACGGAGCGCCTGGAATCGCAGGCCACTGATAGTGAAGACTGCGCCGTTGCAGATAGCAAACAACGGGTTTTCGTCGTCGTAGGGCAAATGTCGAAGCCTCCACGGCCCGCCTCTCGAGGCGATCATCACCACAGCCGCCGGCGGGATTACGCTCGGAGGGGCGGGGGGCAGAGTGGCATCCCTCAGCACCCGGACCGCCCTGCTGGCGCGCAGGGCCGCCGCAACTGCGTCTGCCAGGCAGTGGAACGTCTGCCGCCAGAAGAAGCTCACCACGTGGCGCAACAGGTCGCGCTGCCTGTAGATCCCCTGAACAGCAGGGGTCTTGCTCAAGGCGAGCAAGCCGAAGTACAGCTCCGAACGCGGCGCTGCCACCCCATTCTCATGGGCCTGTAGCTGTGGCCTGGGCCTGCAGCCGAAGCTTGGGACCCGAAAGTTTTAGCTCGGGCCTGTAGCTGTAGCAGGAGAATAGTATTCTGCTGTTTCGGTCGCACGCCATTATCATGGGCCTGTAGCTGTGGCTTGGGCCTGCAGCCGAAGCTTGGGACCAGAAAGCTTTAGCTCGGGCCTGTAGCTGTAGCAGGAGAATAGAATTCTGCTGTTTCGGTCGCGCCCCATTATCATGGGCCTGTAGCTGTGGCTTGGGCCTGTAGCCGAAGTTTGGGACCCGAAAGCTTTAGCTCGGGCCTGTAGCTGTAGCAGGAGAATATTATTCTGCTGTTTCGATCGCACCCAAATCGCCCTGCTCACAGCAACTCCTCTGGACATCGTCGTTGGAAACCTGACCGACAAATCCCGATACGGCAGGTTCGTGTCGTGCCGACCCCAGCGTTGGTTTTTGACACCGCAGGGATCGTTCAACCTTGAACGATCGGCCGCTGCCGCAACGTCCGATCGTTCAACATCGATCGATTCTGGGTCGCCGGCGGCGTTTAACCTTGAACGCCCGCGGCGGGGTCGCGACGAGTCGACACGACGCGAACCTACCGTAGTCGGTACTCTTCGCTAGAGTGGCTGCCTTGGGCCGTCTTGGGGCCTCGTGGGCAGACTTCGGGCCCTCTGGGAAGCCTCTTGGGCCGTCTTGGGGCAGTATTGGTTGCCTCTTGAGCCGTCCTGTAGCTCCGGAAAGCCGAAAAGACGAGAAGGCCAAAATCCTTTTAAACAAAAAAAATATCGTAAAATTCGTGGCTTTGGCCTCTCGGGGCCCTCCCATGAAGCCTTTTGGGAGCCTCTTGGAGCGTCTTGGAAGCCTCTCGGGCCGTCTGGGGCCCACCTTGAACGTCCTGGAGCGATCGTTCGGCGTCTCAGGAGCCCACGAATGTGCCGACAATTGCGCAGTTCGCAGCTCCCCCCGCAGGGAGCCGCGAGGTCCCGACGCGATCCGCGTGTAACCCCACTCCGCTGGGCCCAGGAGCCCACGAAAGGACCGACAGTTGCGCAGTTGGCAGCTCCCCCCGCAGGGAGCCGCGAGGTCCCGACGCGATCCGCGTGTAACCCCACTCCGCTGGGCCTCCCAGGAGCCCACGAAAGTGCCGACAGTTGCGCAGTTGGCAGCTCCCCCCGCAGAGAGCCGCGAGGTCCCGACGCGATCCGCGTGTAACCCCACTCCGCTGGGCCTCCCAGGAGCCCACGAAAGTGCCGACAATTGCGCAGTTCGCAGCTCCCCCCGCAGGGAGCCGCGAGGTCCCGACGCGATCCGCGTGTAACCCCACTCCGCTGGGCCTCCCAGGAGCCCACGAAAGTGCCGACAGTTGCGCAAGTTGGCAGCTCCCCCCGCAGGGAGCCGCGAGGTCCCGACGCGATCCG